CTGGGCCCTTCCACGTATGATGCTGGGAGTGAGGCATGTAGGCTGTGTGGGCCATAATTCAAGGATGGTGTTTGGAAAATGGCCTCAGTTGCGTGTCGAGTGGGGCACTGAGTAGTGACACCAACCCAGACACGCTCGGGGATGCCAAGTGTGAGAGAGGAAAAAGCGCCACAAGTAGTAGGTGAAGAAAATTCATAAATTTACTTACAAACCAACAAGATGATTAACGAGTTGAATACTATTTACAGTGACAGGTAGACACAGACGACGTGGTGCAGGTAGAAAAACGAACAACTGATGGGTAGCGGCGAGTAACAAGCAAGGTGTAATCGTGAAGGTCGACTGCAGCCGAAAATACTATCAGTACAAGTATGATGCCTAGTTGGACAACACACAGGCCGTTCCGGATAGCGCGTGGTCTAGCTATAAGCTGTGGTAGCCTATGCTAGGAATCTAGCTAGAGGCCTAGGGGTCTGTCCAGACAAGACAGGTGATCAGGCTGTCTTCCTGAGTTCGGGAGCGTCTGGGGACCCTACGCTGAGGCGCGCAGTCCCCTTTATAGACTCCCTAGCCAATCAGGGTCCCCCCTTGATGGAACATTCTGGAGGCCTCAGCATGCTGGTCCGGCCACTCATGCTCTAGGGGCAACTTCTGATTGGTTAGGCTACTAGCGATCACGCACTGTCCGCATGATGGTGCATATTAAGGTCACATTCCTCCGCCACTGCACCACTGAATACCAGTCACGGGTAGCCATGTCACTTAATGTCTTAACCAACAATCTGGTGGAGTCACATCACCTCCTGACAGGCTGGACAGGGTACAATTAGTTGGTAGACACCCACAGGCCAGATTAAATTGTGTGGTGGGCCAGATCCAGCCTGCAGGTCTTATTTTGCCCACCCCTGAGGTAGACAGACTGGCAGCCTGAGCATGATCCGTGTGCAGAACTTCAATCCTCTGAGAGCACCTCCTAAAAGAGAGAATTAACTCCAACATTTACTTGTGGCAGGTGGGAGAGCAGGGCCAAAGTGAAGAACTGGTGTAGGAGGATGGGTAATGTGACCATCCGAGGTGCCATGACCACCCCTGGAGGTGCACTTTTAGAGCAGGGAGTGGCTGAGGTTGCAGCTTGATGGCATGACTGTGACTGGCATCAGCGCTGCCCCCAGGAAAAGGTAATCAACACACAGTACAAGAAAGCTTGTGATGGCAACCGTGTCTCAGGGCTCAGATAAGGGAAATGCCCATATTCTGAGGAGCCGTCACGAGTAAGGGCCAGGGCCTCACTTTATCACTGACTCTTAGATGAGCTCAGAGCCATCTGACAACAGCAGCAAGATTTTCAGAAGCATCTGGTCACTGCCTTTCCATTGCATTTGTACTTCAAAAGATATTTCTCCAGCAATGTGAAAGGTCTGTAAAGTTAAGGCTGGTGGAGTTCCTACCCCAGGCAGCTCCCATACCGGTGCCAGAGCAGGGGCCAAGGGAACGTGCCCCAGGTCTCTTTTAGATGGCTGTAAACAGGTCAAGGCCACTCAGTTCTTGGTTCAGAGTTTCGAAAAGCTATTATTTTATACTGGGCAATCTTGTCCCCACAGTCAACAAAAACAACAAAACGAGCAAGTGGGCAAACCACAAACCAAAACCACCCCAAAGGCTTTTGTCGTCCTTCAAAACCTGAGTGTAACAACACAAGCTCTGGGCTTCTTCTTCGGCACCATAGCCCCTCACTTATCTCCCCCCTGCAGTCTGCTCCTGGCGCTCTTATCCCTCTTTGTGGCTCCCCCCTCACTTGCCAATCAGCAGTTGCGCCTGGCTCCCAGCCTTATGGCCAGGCCAACTATTAACTGTTGCATACCTGCAGCAGGGCTTTCAGCCTTCTGGAGCCTGAACACCTCCTCAAAGTGCATTTGGGATTGCAATGATAAAATATGTGGTTGCAAACACAATCACAGATACAGGTGCTGTTACATGTTACCTTTAAAGCATTTAAAATCTGTAACATGTTCTGCTGTTGTAAATAGAGAACAGTTTCAGAGCAGTCCCAGGTCAAGACTTAATGCCATCTCAGTCCTGCACAACTGTGACTCGCTACTAGAAGGCCTGGAGAGCAGAGGCACGGACAACAGGCAGGACTCCATCATTCATTCTCTCCCACCCCAGAGGAGGGATTGTGGCAGGTTGCTTGGAGGTTAAGAAACCACTGTGGGGGATGGGGCTTCCCTCATTCCAGAGTTAGCAGGAGACAGCTGGAGACACAGGCAGAAAGGAAAAAAATCTTTAAAAAAACCTGTTTGAAGCAAGTAGACAGAGAGGAGAAGCAGAGAGAGCAGGGTGTAGCACAGGGCAGGCATAATACGGACTGCAGGCCAGATGCGGCCTGCCAGCGGATTGGATCTGGCCTGTAGGCAGGCACCCACCAGTTAATTGTATCCAGCCCTGTCCTTGGCTGCCCCTGCTGCACTCTGCCTAGGGCTGAGTCCCACCCAAGGCAGAGCACGCTGCGCTCCCAGCCTCCCCCGCCAGCAGGCACAGCTTCTGAGCAGGGCTCCTGCTGCTGCCACTGCCCAGGGACCTGCTGGGCTCCTCCAGCCTCCAGCAACTCCTCCTGTCCCGCTGCAGTGCTCCGGGCAGCAGGTAGAAAGGGGAAGCTGCAGCGTTGAGGGGAGCCGGGCTCTGCCTACAGCTCTCTCTGGTCCTGCTCGTGCAGGGCATGGGAGTGTATGTGGATGGAGGAGGGAGGCGGGGGGCATGAAGGAGCTTGACTGCTCACAAAGCCCAGATGGGCAGGCAGGGACAGACTGAAGGGGGGAGCAGTAGGAGCCAGCATGCACTTGGTGTAGCCCCGCCGGGCAGGCAGGTGAGAGAGAAGTAACAGCAGCAGAAGACAGTGCAAGCTCTGCTGCACCCCCGCCAGGCAGGTTTGGGACAGAGATTAAGAGAGCTGGTGATGCCAGGCTTGGCTCCCTGTCTCCCCTCCCCTCTCGCAGGGGTTTCTGTTGCTGCCTTTGGTGGCAGCTGCTTTCCTGCCCTTTGGAGCACTCTACAAGCCAGGCAGGCAGCATGGATACCCTTCCCCTTCCCCCCAGCCTGCCTGCGGAGTAGCTGGGCTCAGCCACATCGCAAAGAGCAGACAGGGGGGGAACCCCCACACACACATCCAACCCACCTGCACCCTACACATGTACCCACACCCCCTCACACACCTCACCCCCCACCATACCACACACACACCCAACACTCTCCCACAAACCCCACACCCCAACTACACACACAACCATACACACCCCACACACATACACCCATACCCTGACCCCCACTGTACTCACACCCCACATACACATGCAGACACCGCCACACACCCCACCAACACACCCTACACATCAACCACATACACATCCCATACCTCCTACATACATCCCACACACATCCACACATATACCCACATCCCACATACACACACTTACACCTCCCATACATGCACCCACACTCCCTTGCATAACCTACCCCCCATCATACCCACACATACATCCAGCAGTCCCACACACCCCATATACATCCACCTGATACCTCAACCACACCATATCCACACATCCAGAAGTCCCACACAACCCACACCTCGACCACACCCACACACATCCCACACCCACACATATACCCACAAGCCCCACACACCCCGTCCTGTGCCCGCACACACTGCACCTGCTCACCCCAGGGCAGAGCTGAGACCCAGCAGGCTCACTGCATGCATGCCACAGTGGGCCACAGCTCATTCTCTTCGTGGAAGTAGGTATTAGGATTTCTGTTGTTATGTGCATGAGGGTGCTACAGCAAGCAACCAGCTGGTGAGTTTTATGGGTGCTCAGAGTGGTCAGGGTGTGCTGGGGTGCTGGGCTTAGGAGGGGGTATTGACCTCAGCCCAGCACCACCCCCTGGGTAGCAGAGTTCACATGGGTGAAACTCTGCTCTTACCCATGGAGCAAAGGAGTGGGCAGGCCTCTGAATGGTGCATCCTGGGATACTGAAGGAATGAAAATAGTGCTTTTCCCCCCCTCAAATGACCTGGGTTGAACAGAACAAAGGTAACCCTTGCCTGAACTGGCATAACTTTAAAACGTTTAGGGGATATTTAACACAGGTTAATACTCTGCAATGGAAGAATGTTCCTGTTTTAAGGACCTTTATGATGGTATAAAGATAACTGTGACATCACCCTCAGTACAAGGCCTGAGACAAAAAAAGAGGTGTCCATCCCTCAGGGGGCATCCTGCCCACACCAACCAGGACTTGGGAAAGGACCAGGGCAATGCAATGCAGGGAGAGAAAAGGGAGACTTAAGACCAACGGGCTAAAGTAATTAAAAAAAAAAGTGAAGGCATTTGTTCAAATTTTTGCTTCTGTCTAGAGCCCAAGTGTCCAGTGCAGTGGAGCTGGTATCCACAGAGGAGTCTGAGGGTGGGAGGCACCTACCCCCGATGGGATTCAGGGCACTTCAGCCTTTGAAACACCTGAGCCCAGAGGCCTTGGCTGAAGACTTGAATCCAAATTCAACCCAGGCCAGCAGTTCCCCATGGGCAGGTTCTGTCAAGGCTCAGGCCCTCACCCCACACAGCCCTACACACATCCTACAGCAAGGGCCTCCTTGAGCAGAGGATGTCCAGGGGCACTTTGAGGGCTTTGCAGAGATCCCATGGGCTGCTCTAGACAGGGAGCAGGCGCTGACTCCCCAGTTGGGGCTTCCTGATAGGGAGATTGTATGGCCAACCCTGCTGAAGTCCTTCAGAGCCATCGCTCACAGAGACAAACCAGCCTGGTGACACCTGCTGCCATGGGATTGTGTATCCAGACTGTGCCTTGTTATCTACTGCAGCTCCAAGAGTGACAGAGGTGCAGCCATGAGGGCTGGGGAAGGAGATCCCTCTTGGGTCACACAGCAGGAGGCTGGAGTGGATGAGTCTATCATTCACACTGGGACATCTCCCCTGCCCACCCCCATTTCAGTGCCACAGTCTGAGTTCAGCTCCAGTGCCACACAGCCAGAGCCAGGGCCGGATTCTGTCCCTAGTAAAAGAGGCTGGTGGGAAGGTGAAGATTGGAGCCTCCGTACCAGCATCGAGAAACGACACCCACCCTGCTGCATAGTCCAGATACACACAGATCCTTCTAGGTGACCAGTGCAGGGATAGGCGGGTGGGACGAGGAGAAGTGAGAGCCTGGCACTGACCTAAGCAGCGCCACACAGCCCAGATCCCCTGCTCTGGGCAAAAGTGGATCTGTCCCTTCCTCCGCACAGACTCTCTGACGACGCCCACAGCCCAGAATCTGCTTTCTGGCACCTCCACCTCCCAGCAGTGTCTCCCCGAGGTGAATCCCTCACGGCCCAGCACGCAGCAGTGCATGTCAAATCTCTCAGGGTTGTCGGGCAGATGCTGCCGTGTGTCTGCACATCTCACACTTCTCCGATACTGAGAAAGGACAAGACAGGGATGAGCCGTATCTGGATCCAGAGTCACCGTCACTGGGAGAGAGAATCACAGTGTCAGGGCAGAGCTCAGAGAGGACCATTCCTCACCCTCCCCAGCAGACCTGTTCTGCCTGGTGCTGTCCTGGGCCCTAGGACAATACTGGACCCTGGGCTCCTGAGGCCAAGGAGAGATGGCCCTGCAGCTCCTCAGGGAAATGAGGAGGACAGGGCATAAAATCCACAAGCCAAGGCAGGAAAATCCCAGCCCAACCCCCTGGGTCGCAGCACAGGGAGGTTCGGTACTGTACTGTGAGAGTGTTTCTCATGGGAGGGGGGGGAGGGGAGTGCTTCAGTGGGATATTTCTGTGAAGACAATCAGATCTGTACTAGCACTTACCTTTGGAATATGAGCTCTCCTCCAGATAAGACTGCAGAGTGTCTGGAAGAACAAAATGGCCACTTACTGGGTCTGCATTATATTAACCACTAGGCTACTAGGCTAAAATATGTAGATTGGGACCTGACTAGCCAGTGCACAGTAGCTATGTGGAGGGTGCAATGTGAATATAAACTGAGTATACATGCCAAAACTGACACTTGTGTCACTGGGTACATGCCCTTCAGGGGCGTGAAGTGTCACAGGATTCTATCTGCCCAGAGCTTGTCTTCTCCTCACACACACGGCATATCCCTTGTATCCCATAAAGTCCCTGCTCAGTACCTTGAAACAGGCTAACCCTCTTTCTTAGGTTTAGTTCAGACCAGCTCTTGATTCTTGTTTGCAGCTCAAGGGAAATCCTCCCCAGCACCTGGACCTGCCCCTTCTCGCACCTGGGAAAAACAATTTAGTGTCACTCCATTTTCCGTCTGTAACTCAGTTTCATGGTAGCAGCCTTGATTAGCTGGCCAGACCTGGGGACTGATTCCTTCTCTGTCCCTCACCCTCAGGACAGGGGGAGCACAGACAGTAACAGCACCAGCTCCCTCCATAGCAGGGATTCATATTTTGCAGCTCTGAACTGTCCATAACATTTCTTGGGATCAGACAGGATCTTTCCCACCCCATGGAGAATCCCAGAGTTTGTATTAAATGACCTCAGGACAGAACACCATCAAAGACGTGTGTCCTGACAGTGACCCTGCCCTGCATATGGTGCTGCAGTGCCCCATGAGCATGCGAGCAGATCACAGTGTTCAGGCCCTGGCCCACCTTTGGGAGCAAGAAGGAGCCACGTACCTGCTCAATGTGCTTCTGATGTCCTGGAGGAGAGAAAGAGAAAGGGAAGAGAGAGCTCAGTGCCACCTGCCACAACCAGGATCCCTCCTATTCTCGGGGCAGGTGCACTCTGTCTGACTGAGTGCAACACACCAGCATCTTCCTCAGAGCGGGGAAAATACGGCCCACATGTAGCCTGGGGGGCTCACCAAGGAATTTTGCCCCCGCCCACCCTTTCCACCCATGAGGGTGAGAGCGAGGCGCCCATGTATACACACATCCCTAAACATACTCTAATGTGCCTTGCTCCAAACCTCATGGGCTGAAGGGCCTGGCCCTGCCAGCCTGCAGCTTCTGGGCAGGGCTGCAGCTGCTGCTGCAGCTCCCGTGGACCTGTTCCGCTTTCCTGGTCTCTCACTTGCTCCAGGCACCAGGTAGGGAAGCTGGGGACTGGAGTGAGCTGGCAAGAGCATGGAGTGGAGTGTAGGCTGGGGCTGGTGGGGGCAGCAAAGAGCTTGGGTGGGCAGCTTGTGGGTGTGAGGGAGAGTGGGGTGGGGTGGGGTGCGGTGGGGACTCCCCACCATGGTGTGCAGCCCTGGCAGGCAGTGGCAGTGGCAGCAGCAGCAGGCAGAGCACTCAGGGGTCTGTTGCACAGTGGGGCATGCTGCAGGCCAGCACTGCACATTGCAGTGAGGAGCACAGGCTCCATGGGGCCGTCTGTATCACCGGTGGTCCCCACACTCACACGGCACAGGAGGAAAGCCCCAGTCACTGGAGCCAGCTGCCTTATCTGCCCCCAGAGGAAAGCACCTGGGGCTTCCCTCCCCTACAGGGCAGCTCCTGTGAGGAAGGCAGCCGGCTCCAGCCCCCCACATATACACAACCCCCCCAATATACCCCATGCCCCCCATGTACAGCCACACCGCCTCACAACCCCCCACCCTTGCACACCCTACCACACACGCACACACACACCCCCCCACCATATGCATAAACACACTCAGACACACACACACAGAGTATAAAAGACTAAGAATTTATTTGTAAGTTATTATACAATGCTCTCTTTACACTATGCAAACACAAATCATGACAAAAAATTGTTTTGTAATAAAATTAAAATATGTTATAGTAGGCGTCTGACTTTTAGTATGGAGGGATTTCTGGTGGCAAAGGTCAGGGGTGGGGAGGCAGGAATTCTGGCCCCAAGATGGGGCAAAATTCAAGGGGCAAGGCTACCCAGGTGTCCCTCAACAGCTCACCAAAACTAATTAAGCAACCCTCCACCCAAAATAATTGCCCGCCCCTGATCTACATAAATATTTCTCCATTACAACCTTCTCCCCAAGGCCCATTGTTCAGGCTTTGCCCCTTTCGTGTGCAGGGGTAGGAGGGGTTTTAATGTGCCTCACCTGCAGGAGGTCCCTTGGTGGCTGCTGGCACTTTCTCTCCATCTCTCTAACCAGGCTGTCAAGACGGGAGATCTCCTCTGAGAGTTTGGTGACAGTTTCCTCCTGACTTGTCTCAATCTCCCTCTCCAGCTCTGCCAGCCGGACCAGCAGAAGTCGCTCCTGCTCCTTGATGAACTGGTGCAGTCGCTTAAATTCAGACACAACCTTCTGCCTCTCAGCCTTTGTCTTTGCCTGCAATGAGCAGCAGGAAACCAGGGAGGGGAGGTCAGGACCTTTGGGGAGAGTCAAAGGTTTTGTGAGACTGATGATCAGAAGAGTTAGTTCCCTTGAGCTCCCATTGTCTTGAAAAGATGTTGGGGTCTTCCAGCATCTCTGCTCCTAGACCTCTCTGGTTGCAGACTGTTTGTACCCTGCCTGGTTTCTGTGCACTTCGTTCACCTTAGGAAGGGTTTTTTGCAGCTCTGAGGCCTCAATTGTACACAGGAGAGAAGTCAATTGTTCTCCCTGCACACAGCAACACACCGCCAAAAAACAACACGCACATTTCCACCAAATGCACAGAGGAGGAGATATCCTCCCCTCCACCTTCCTAGGTTGCCCTGATCACAGTAACCAGGAGCACTGACCTGATATTAGGAGCACTGACCTGATATTCTTGGTGTTTCTGACTCTCACTGACTCTCAGGTCTTCAAGCCTTTTTCTCTCTTCCCTCAGAAACTCCAGTTCATCCTGAATTTGCTCCTGAGGGAAGGAAAATGTCTTGGGTGAATCTTCCTTTCCGGATGGAGAGAGAGGTATGTTTTCCTACTGCACAACCAAGATACCTTCCCTGCTGTGATGTCAAGGACTGTCACATTGTTATTGGCAAGCTCACATGTGTCCTCTCTTGGTGAACCTGCTGAGTTCCTGTTTCAGTGATACTCATATGACTACTGCTGAGCTGTATAAAAGCCAAAAGGAAGGCTTAGACTACATAGCACTTGTCTCTGTCCGGAAAATTTTGTATGCAAGAGATGGGCTCTTCTCCAGGACTGGAATGAAGTGAGTGTCAGACACGAGAAGGGCCAGTTACCAGACACTGCTCCATCTCCTGTATCCCCAGCTCCTGCTGGCTTTGGAGTCCAGGGAGATTAAAGAGCAAAGGGTGACATCATCTGTAGGTTTAGGGTCCCATGTGTAACAGCAGATACAGCAGGCAACATCCTATAGAGTTGACACCCTTCCTGTCAGCAGTTGTAAGCAGATGGGGGATGCTGACCCCAGCACAACACTAGATTGGGGTGTCTTTGATTCTGGAAGTGGGAAAGGGAAGGGCACATTATGCCTTGTGGCTACACAGTGCTGGGAAGATGAGACTGGCTCAGGAGAGAGTGCAGCACACAAATTACAGGGCTGGTAACTTTACTGTTCTGAACAGGAAACAAAACTGAAGCAAATGTGGTCCCTAGGAGGCACACAGTATAACAACAAGCAGGGCTGTGCTGGGGGCAGGAGGGGTGAATCAGGGCGACCACCCTGGGCCCCACACTTCGGGGGGCCCTGTGGGCAGTGCGGTACAGGCCCCACCATGGCTGCCACTGCCAAATGCTGCCGGCTCTGGATGCTTGCCTCCCCCCAGCTTCAGCGGCTCTGGCCACTCACCACCCCTGGCCCCCGTCGCCAACACTGGCACTGGCTTCTGCAGGTTGTCACGACCCCCACCTCCAGCCCCGCACAGGCTGATATGCCGGGCCCCGCACACCCCTAGGGACAGCTCTGAAATAAGTAAAGACACGTTGCTATATATAATGGCTAATGCACATTACATAACAGGACAAAGCACTGACTGCATCTAAATCACTGTGAACTCTGATCCCCAGCTTCGGAGATCAGAGGAACCTTGGAATGAATTAGAATAAAATAGCAGCAAGTCCCCAACAACTCTCCTGGCTTTAGGACCCACCAGGGAGGCATGGAAATTCCTGCGTTTTAAAAAAAGCTCTGTGCTCTCATTTAAAAAAATAAATCCCAAAGAAACATCAAAACGCTGAGGTCCAGAATTGTGTCCCCTGGAATCATACACTAAAACATTCTGTATCTTGCCTCATAAAGGCTTCCAAGGAGCGGACAACCCAGTTTTAACATACAGAAAATAGTGGGGAAATCAGAGGCATAACAAGCTCTTTGGGCCCCCAGGGTGGGGGCCAGAGGAGGGGCAATCCTGCTGACCACAGGAGAGCAGGGGTGGATGGGGAGAGTGGCGAGAGAGGGAGAAACATCTCACCTGCCCAGTATCTCCTCAACTGAACAGCAGGTATAACTGCTGTTGCTCATCTTTTAGCAGCATGGAGTGGGCTGGTGAGCTGAAGGGGAGGCAATGGCATTGGTTCCCTAGGGGACAGCTCCTGGTATCCCAATCACCCCACACTATGCCCTAGGGAAAGGCTGTGCATCCCACAGCAAAGAGGCTGGTCCTCTAGGAGCCAATAAAGTATTGCCTGTGTTGACTGTAGAAAGGTGAGCTGTGCCTGCAGAAAACCAGTGGTGGTAGTTTCTACATAGCTTGGACTCTGGGCCCAGACCTGTTGGCCCATTCATCCATTTGGATGTAGGCCCGGCTCAGAGGGGCTGAGAAATGCTGGCTTCAGAGGGAATGTCCTCAAGTAGCTGAAAATGGAGTGCTTCCTACCTTGTATTTCTGGGCAGCCTCCTCAATGAGCAGCACTGAGTGAGCTCTGTGCTTTGGGGATCTCCAACAAACCACACACACGGTCGCCCCATCCTCCTCACAGAACAAGTTAAGCTCCTTCTTGTGTTTCATGCACAGATCCTCAACTCCAGGAACTAACTCCAATTGTTTAATGCCTTCTACAAGATTTGCCAGCTGCCAGTTTGGGCAGAGATTCCCTTTCTGAAACTCGGCTCTGCAGACAGGACACTCCAAAGGTCCGTGTTCTTCCCAGATCTCACAGTAATCACTGATACAAGCTCGGCAGAAGTTGGGCCCACAGTCTAGTGTTACTGGATCGGTCAGGTGCTCCAGGCAGATGGGACACTTGATTTCCTCTTGGATGTCCTGCCCTGGTCTTGGTGAGGCCATGGCTGCTGGTGTCCTTAGGGCACTTCTGGTCGCTCCTGTCTATTCTGCATATGGAGAGAAAAACATGAAAATATGTAAAGTTTAGTGCAAGCCATATGGGGAAGGAGATGGAAAGGCAGGGAGAAAGCAGGGTATGAAGTGGGGACAGCCTGCATGGGGAAGGCGTTTCCACACAGGCGAAGGAAAGGGGAATCGCAGGTTGGTGGCAAGAATCAGTGTCTCTGTTGCAATCCCCACTTCTCAACTGCAGACCTGATTTGAATGGGAATCTATTTGAATGGGAACGCATCTGAATGGGAATCTATTTTGTTCTAACAAATGTAGTTTGTTAAATGTTTAGTAAGCCGTAAAAACCAAACAGCCTTGTGAAACCATAAGCTAAAGTGTGGAGGGAACAGATATCAGCATGAGACATGAGGACACCTCCCAGCCAAGGCAGGTGACGTGCACAAGGGGTCCTCAGGTAAGTGATTGGTCCGGATAGTCCTAAGAATCGGGGGGGGGGGGTGTGCATGCACCAATACAAGGCCTTAAATGTCTCTGCACTAATGCTCATAGCATGGGGAATAAGCAGGAGGAACTCGCCCTCCGGATACCTAGTACAAACCTGGACATAGTAGGGCTCACAGAAACCTGGTGGGATTCATCCCATGACTGGGTGGTAAACATTAGGGGCTACAGACTATATAGGTGGGATAGAATGGGGAGGAAAGGCGGGGGTGTGGCACTCTACGTCAAGGAGCAATATACGTCCGCAACTAACAGGATGGGGTCAGAGGAGGGGCAGGCTGAAGTGCTCTGGGTCAGAATACAGGGGGGTCATGGGGAAAGGGACTTAACGGTGGGGGTCTACTACAGACCACCCAACCAAAGGGAAGAAATGGACCATGAATTCTCAGGTCAGCTTGCGGAGGCACTTAAGGCAAGGGATATAGTCATCATGGGTGATCTAAATTACCCAGTCATCTGCTGGGAGGAGCAGTCAGCCAGGTCGGACCGCTCACAAAGGTTTCTTGCTGAAATACAGGACCTCCACTTAACCCAGGAAGTGCACAGTCCCACCAGGGGGAATGCCCTGCTGGACCTGGTCCTGGCCACAGGCGATGACCTGGTGAGGGGACTCCAGGTTCTTGGCCACCTAGGTGCCAGTGATCATTGCCTACTGGAATTCACCATCCAGCGCAGGGTGTCAAGGGCCTGCAGCAAGGCAGTAGGCCTTAACTTCAAGAGGACCAATTTCAATGAGTTGGAAGATTGGTAGGAGAGGCACTGGGGTCCTGGAGGGTAGGGGAATGGGGTGTCCAAGACGAGTTGTCATTCTTTAAGGAGATGATCTTCTGAGCCCAAGGGGTGACAGTCCCAATGAGAATCAAGGGGGACAAGAATGCTCAAAAGCCCCCCTGGCTCACCAAAGGCATTCAGGAACGTCTGAAAACCAAAAAGGAGGCATACACCCAGTGGAAGGGAAGGGCTGTCACCAAAGAGGAGTATACCTCCATCACTCAGGTCTGTAGGGGGGCTGTTAGGAAAGCTAAGGCAGATATAGAAATAGGGCTAGCATCAAGGACAACAAAAAGTCCTTTTTTAAATACATAGGGAATATGAAGAAGGCACCGGGTAATGCAGGGTCCCTGCGGGATATGCTTGGCAATCTGATAGTTGCACCAAAGGAAAAGGCAGACCTTTTTAACAATTTATATGCCTCCATTTTTTGTGTGCAGGGACTGGGATTCCCCCACTGAGATTCAGGATGGACTCAGGAAAGACTCTGCCAGGCCTAGGGTCAGGTAGGACCTAGTTAGGGAACTTCTGGAGGGACTGGATGCGTTCAAATCAGCAGGTCCAGATGCTCTCCACCCCAGGGTGCTGAGGGAATTGGCAGGGGGTATCAAGGGGCCCCTGGCACGGCTTTATGAGCACTCATGGTGCTCTGGCCAGGTGCTAGATGACTGGAAGAAGGCCAATGTGGTCTCCATTTTCAAAAAAGGGAGGAGGGAGGACCTGGGCAAATATAGACCCGTCTTACTTCGATCCTGGGGAAGCTCTTTGAGAAGATTATCCAGGAGCACACCTGGGAAGGACCAGTGTGGGGGATGATGCTCAGGGGCAACCAGCATGGGTTCATTAGGGGCAGGTCCTGTCAGACCAACCTGATTGCCTTCTACGATCAGGTCACAAAATCATTGAACGCAGGTGTTGCAGTGCATGTAGTCTTCCTGGACTTCAGGAAGGCCTTTGACACTGTCTCCCACCCCATTCTCATTAAAAAGCTAGGCAACTGTGGTATTGATGCCTACAGTCAGACAGGTCACAAATTGGCTGATGAGCTGCACCCAGAGACTGGTGGTGGACAGGTTATATTCGACCTGGAGGGATGTGGGCAGTGGGGTCTCCCAGGGCTCGGTCCTTGGGCCTGCACTGTTTAATCTCTTTATTAGCGACTTGTACGAGGGGGTGAAAAGCACCCTGTTCAAATTCGCTGACGACACCAAGATTTGGGATGAGATGGGCACGCTAGAAGGAAGGGACAGGATACAGGTGGACCTGGACAGGTTACAGGGGTGGGCGAATGAGAACAGGATGGGATTCAATGCTGACAAGTGTAGGGTGCTGCACTTGGGCAGTAAGAACCAGCAGCATACCTATAGGTTGGGGAACTCCCTTCTTGAAAGCACAGTGGCAGGAAGAGATCTTGGAGTCATTGTTGATTCTAAAATGAACATGGGCCGCCAATGTGAGGACGCGGTCAGTAAGGCTAACTGCACGTTGTCATGCATCCACAGATGCATCACAAGCAGGGCCAAGGAGGTGATCCTTCCCCTCTATGCAATGCTGGCCAGGCCACAGCTGGAACTTCAGGAGGGATGTGGACAGCATGGAGAGGGTCCAGAGGGGGGCCACTCGCATGATCAGGGGGCAGCAAGGCAGATCCTACGAGGAGAGGCTATGAGACCTGAACCTGTTCAGCCTCCACAAGAGAAGGCTGAGAGGGGATCTGGTGGCCATCTATTAACTTACTGGGGGGGACCAGCAGGGAATGGGAGATATCCTGTTCACTTGAGCACCTCCCATAGTAACAAGGAATAACGGCCATAAGCTGTTTGAGAGTAGGTTCAGGCTGGACATTAGAAGGCACTACTTCACAGTCAGGGTGGCTAGGATCTGGAACCAACTTCCAAGGGAAGTGGTGCTGGCTCCTACCTTGGGGGTCTTTGAGAGGAGGCTGGATAGTTACCTAGCTGGGGTCATATAAGCCCAGTATTCTCTCCTGCCCAGGGCAGGGGGTCAGACTTGAAGATCCCTTCCAACCCTACATCTATGAACCTATGAGCATTAACAGTATTCATTCCACCATGGAAAGAGAAAAGGAGATAAGGAAGCCTCCCTGCTTTCCCAAGAATGTAAATCTCAATTAGCTGACATCCTCCAGGTCCACAAGACATCTAGTTAAATTCAGTTCAGGATGTTTAACTGAAACAAAGGAATTTAATTAAAACCAATCAGAGATCATTCATTGTAATACTGGTTGGTATCAACCATCTATAAATATTGGGCACAGGCTGGAGGGAAATTTGGACTTCTAGGATATTTATACACATAACTTTTTGTCCCGTGACATGCTGGAGATCCGCTGCTTCAGATGGTTTACTTGAGTCTGCTCTGCACATGAGTTGACGCGCCCTGTGCTGCGCCATGTTCAGTTGAATAAGAGGCAAAATGCATGTCAGCATGCAGAAAATAGTAGTGATGCACTATTGAACTAAAGTGCCTACAAGGTGTTTTAGTTCATAAGCACACCGCTGCTATTTTCTGTGCACTGACATGCATTTTACTGCTTATACAACTGCATGTAGTGCTGCGGCATTTACACATGTAAAAAAGCCACTAGTTTCAGATCTTTAAATTTGAACTCTTCCAAGGGTCTGCAAACCAATCAGGCCCCTAGGTGAACAGAGAAGTCTGGCCAGAGGACCTGTTTTCTTCCCTGAATCCAAGAAGAAAACTAGAAGTAATGGTCACAAACTCCTTGAAGACTGTTTCAACATTAGGAAAAACTTCTTCACAGCTAGAGTGTCTAGACTGTGGAATAAGCTCCTTCCAGAGGTGGTGCAATCACCTACCCTGGAAATCTTCAAGAGGAGACTGGACAGTCATTTTGCTGGGCTCACCTGCCCCAGTTGTCTTTCCTGTGTGGTACAGGGGGCTGGACCTGATGATCTTCCGAGGTCCCTTCCAGCCTTAAAATCTATGAATCTATGAATCAAGGATACATAAAAATTGCCTTTATTGAATTAAACAAGTCTTTGCTATTATGTATCCTAATACAAGTTTTGCGTTGTGACTGGAATTGGTCTCACTCGATCATCAATCTCACTCTCAACCACGGTTAAAACTGAGTGTAACACCTTGACAAGTGTCCTAGCCACTAGGCTGTTTTGGCTAAAAGGTGGGATGGCCTTCCTCACTCTTCACTTCACTTCTCGCACATGCACAGCTATCTGGGCAAGTTTATTGTGCTGAATATGGAACAAGAATCCAGGCCCGCCTCCATGTCAAAATGGCCGTTCGGCAGTTATGTAGGTGCATAAAAGTGAAACAAGATTGACCCCACCATAGCATGTGCACTCAGTCAAATCCAGTTCCCCAGTCAAAGAAGTCTGAACAGTGGAAGAAGAGATGCAGGACAGATAGTCCAGCTTTTTCAGGAGTAACATTTTTGGAAGGGCACTGGAATGGCCTAATATGGGCATCTGTTATCTACAGCCATCCCATGCCTGCTTCCCTACGTTAATAACTGCATTTAACACCTCATTAAATATTTTTATACCCATTTATATATCAGAATTACTTTGAAGAACTGTCTCAAGTTAATATTACACGGATATTTTTAAAGAGCTTTCTGTAAGGATCAGGGGAAGTACAAATGAGAAACACCACCACAAATAATCAGCTGCGAATAGGACCCTAACATCAGCCTCGTGCTCCATTCTTAGCACATTTGACAATGCTACCCCTGCAATGTACTCATTACCAGCCCCCTCACTAATGTGTACTAATATATAATACATGTGTCATGTTTCCCTAGGTAGAGTACCTTCATCTGCACAAAAAAGGGTTTGTCCTACAAATGGTTTGAAACAGTGATCCAGCAAACATATCTGTCTCTCCTGTGCCATTTCCTTGCATGTGTGCATGCAGTCTCTTCCAAGAAAAGAATATTTTAGGTTGATTGAATAACTTATGACAGTGGTTAATGAGACGGATAAGGAGAAATGTAAATAAAACATAGTTGGGCAGTCTGAGAAAAGCAAGCAGCTCATTACCTTGTGCTCCTGGGCAGCCTCCCCTACAGGAACCACAGTGTGAGCATGGGATGATCTGCAAATCACCTCTCTCAGTCATGGTCAATTCCACAAAACAGTTTTGGAACAGTTCCCCTTGTTCCTTTCTTGCCCACTTCCCTCCTGCTCCTTTGCCGCCTGTGCACCCAGACATGGATATGTTCTCCAATAATCACCAACTACCTACTCTGGCTTAGGTTCATCTGGGCAAAGGTCTCTGCTTTCATGGGCAAGGCACATCGGTATCTGACTCCTCCTAACATGGGGTGCAGTAGGCAAAGCAGGGATTTTTCCTGAAGCATGGAAGAGGATGTTAAATGAACCACAGACTAGTGTGATGGGTTTGCTGGCAGGGGCTTGACAGGGGCAGCTTGGCCTGTGGGTTTTTAAAAGTTCAAAATTGATTGGTGGGGGAATTTCTCCTTCCCCAATAACCAGCTGATGGCAGGGGACCATCCCTACCCAGTGGTGAAGTGAAGAATCAGACTGGAGAGACATCTAGCCTTCTTGCTCTCCGAATTGGTCCCTTTTGTCACATGGAGAGAATAAAAGGGCCGTGTGCCCAGCTCCTAGAGGTTTGTTTGATACGGGACTGAGAATAGGGGCTTCAAAGAGGAGCTGGTTTGAACTGACCAGGGGGGCAGAGTACTTGCTCCAGAAGAGCCCCAGAAGATGCTGCGTTGGATGGGAAGTGGCCCTGGAGCTTGGCGCACAGGCATTGCACAGCCTGTGCCTCCTGCAGCCATGGAGTCCCTTCAGCTCTGTCCAGGCCCTGTGCACCGCTCTATGCACTGTGGGGTTTCTGTCTCACGCAGGGAGAGGACCTACCCTGCACCGCTCTGTGCACCAAAGGAGCTCCAGCCTCATGCAGGGATAGGGACCTGTGCTATCTCGTGTAGTCACGAGGTCCTTTCAACTCTCTGGACCGTCCATGCACTGACACCACAGGTCTTTCTACGGTGGGGCTGGGAGCAGCTTCTCACTGCTTCCCGCTCAGTGGAGGTGTGTTCGGGGTGCGTCTGGGGCAACTGCTCTGCCCTGCTGGTCAGCTCCACCAGCAGTTCTCAAGCCCATCTTCATCGTCCCTCATCGAAGCTGCCCATGAGAAGTCTGAGAGGGCATCTTGTGGCCACCTACAAATTCATCCGGGGTGGGGGGAGGGGCAGCAAGGAATAAGAGATGCTCTGTTTACCAGGGCACCCCTTGGAGTAACCAGGAACAACAGTCACAACCTGGTGGAAAGCAGATTTAGGTTAGACATCAGGAAGAACTTCTTTACAATAATTTTTGCCAGAATCTAGAATGGGCTTCCAAGGGAGGTGGTGCTCTCCCCTACCCTGGGGGTCTTTAAGAGGAGACTGGATGTGCACCTGGCTGGGGTCATCTGAGCCCAGCATTCTTTCCTGCCCAGGACAGGGGGTCAGACTCAATGATCTTCCAAGGTCACTTCTGACCCAAACATCTATGACTCTATGTGCTGGGCATGCAGGATTTTATCCCTTCCAGAGGCTCCTCCCCCAAACTGACAACAGACCAATGGGAAAGCCTGAGGGGTCAGTTCCCCCTCAAGTCCTCTTCTTCACCTCGCTTTTGTGTCAGGGTGGGGCAAGCCTTCATCCTGCCTCCTCCTGATTGGTGGGGAAGGAAAATGCCCCCATCAATCGGCCAGAGCCATCCAGCTCAAGCCATCAAGCTGGGCTACCAGTGAGCCCAACTGCCAGCCTGCCACGCCTGTAACAATCATTAATCTTCTTGCCATCCAGGGTGAGGAAACCAGGCAGTGCTTGCTAAGTGTCAACCATTAGCATCAGGCTACTTACGAGCAATGTAGCAGGAAACCTTAACCCTGGCACAGGAAAAAGTGAGCAAGGAAGGAAGAACCAGTAAGGCCCTTCCAGGACTAGAACTTTTGTGACCCAAGGGGGACGGGGAATTATTTGCAGCAGAGAGCAGCTCTGTCCAAGCAGCCAGAGCAGTGGAGTGCCCAGGTGCCAGGGTGAACACCCAACTTAACAAAGAGGGTCAAGCTGCCTGCTGCAGGCAAGATCAGAGACTGCCTAATGAGAGCCAGCTGGCCTTGTGCTATGGATTTGCCTTCTGCAAGGGAGATAGCCTGCAAATGGTGGTTGATGGAGAAGGACAAAAACCTTCTGGAAAAGGGGAGAAACTAGAAATCTAGCAATGGGAGCTGGGTGTACCTAGAGCTTTGTATTCAGGATTATGTTAATCCAGTTGGGGTCTGGTTTGTCTGGTGTATAAGAACTGGTGGACCCAAAGCAGCTGTGAGGGGAGAGCATGAGGAGGCTGCAGAGTGGAGCACCCAGCACTCTGGGTTTTTTTCTCTTTTAGTTTACTCTGGCCTTTCCTTATGAAGGAGGCACATTGAAGGGCAAGAGGGGCTGAGGCTCAGGCAGGTCCAGGGCCCCAGACAGAAGTCAGGCCATCCCAAGCTCAGGAAGGGCTGCAGCCCAGAGTGGTGTGAGACAGAGCCAGGAACCTAGAGTGAGAAAAGAGGTGGACTGAAGCCCAGGAGGGGCCACAGCCCAGACCAGAGCAAGATGGGGCCAGGAACCCAGAGCAAGAAAAAGAGATGGGAGTGAAAAGGCAACCTGCTGTGGCTAGAGAGATCGGCAGCCTGATAATGACCTGGATGGTGTAAGGCAGCAATAAGTACATCTTGAACTTCTGGCAAGACATAAAACTGCCTAGCAGAAGCAGAGGAAGGGACCTCCCATGTTTCAGCCCTATAACCTAGAAGTCAGGGTACTTTTTTCAGGTAGGAAGAGCCCTAGATACCCCACAGTAGTTTGGAGTTTGAAGTTGCCTCTGTCTGATTTCTCAGCCCAGAGCTGACACCACAGGTTGGCTGTCAGCAGGTGCCTCCAGCCTTCCCTTTGAAACTGGCTCCTTAGGTAGCCAAGAGAAGGAGATATGTGGGGCAAGGAAGAAGACAATGATCTAGACAGTGACTGGAACACTGAATGGCAATGGTGATACAGGTCCTCCAGCAGCCAGCATGTTGCTGCTGACACTGCCTGCTCTGAGTGAGCTGTACCTGCAGAAAAACAGTGATGGTAGTTTCTATGTACCTAGGGCCTTGTGCTTAAATTCCTTTGGCCCATTCATTAATCAGCCCCAGGTAGAAGTTAGAGCTTTTCATTATTAGCACCGTGGGCTTGGCCATTTCTGGGCTACCCGAGGTACATTCCCTCCATGCCTTGTCTGGAAACAGCAAAGACATGTTTTAGTTCATCTCTGGAAGGGCAAAAGTGCCTTTCATGGTCCTCTGGGGTGAAGCAGTGCAGCAGGCTAGAGCAGAACCAGTGGTTGGAGACCTTTGTGCCAGCATAGAGGGAGTCACTGAGACAAAGTCAATCCACTTCATTATGTGAAGTACGTCACCCATTGTCCTGTCTGCTGATCCTTTGGGACAGGGGGTAACGTGGTCCCTGCTTACCAAGATGTGTACCCAGAGCTTCTCCCCAGAGCAGTTGGAGAGCGTGGGCAGCTCCAAGCTACCTGAGATCTCATGCCATAAAGAAACCCATGCCTACTGTTAAATAGCAGTACAAATTGATACCACCTACTTTGCATCCATAAATTTTGCTTATTTGCAGCATAAGGATCATTGGCAATGCATAGTGGGTGCACACAGATGCACCTGCACCCCCAAATGTGGCAGTGCACCACCTACGAAAAGGTGCCTCCAACAATGCTGGTGGCACCTGCAGGTGGTCGCCACTTGCCACTCCCCGCCTTGCCACTGATATTGCCAGCGGTGTCTTTGGGCAGACCGTGATCACCTCTGGCCACCTCCCACGCTGCCGGCAGTGTCTGTGGGTGGTCGCTGACCACTGGTCAGCACTCGCTACCCCTCCCCCCACTGCCAACAGCACTGTGGCCGCCTGCGTGAGCTCCCTGCTTGCAGCTGCCACGCTCCCACTGCCGACAGCACCGCCGCCACCTGTGGGAGCTTGTCGTGCCCCCCCAGCCTCCAGGGGCATGCCACATTCATGATAAGGACCATGAATGTCAGTTTACTTGGCCTTTGCGCTGCCATAAAAGGCAATGTCTGCTTCCACCCTGAGTAAAGCAGGATTACTACTGGACCTGGGAGCACCTGTGGCTCAGAGAGAGGCTGAGGGAAACTGTAGCTCCACAGGGAATGGTTTGAAATAACTGAAATCAGAGTGCTTCCTACCTTGTATTTCTAGGCAGCCTCCTCAATGAGCCGCACTGAGTGAGACCTGTGCTCTGGGGAGCTCTCACAAACCGCAAACACCACCACTTTCTCCTGCTCACAGAACAGGTTGAGTTCCTTCTTGTGTCTCTTGCACATGTTCACCTCGCTAGGATTTAACTCAATCCAACCTTCTACTGGATTTCCCAGCTGCCAGCTTGGATGGAGATTCCATTTCTGGATCATGCCTCTGAAAACACGATACACCACGGTCCAAGCTCTTCCCACGTCCCACTGTGTCCATTGATACAAGTTTGGCAGAAGCTGTGCCCACATGCTGAGGTCACTGGGTCTGTCAGATACTCCAGGCAGATGGGACATTTGGGTTCCTCTTCGATAGCTTCCCCTGGTCTTGCTGAGGCCATGGCTGCTGATGTCCCCAGGGCACTTCTGGTCTCTCCTGTTTATTCATCCTGTGGAGTGGAGAACATGAAAGGTATGCAAAGCTCAGTGAGAGCCACATGGAGTTGGAGCAGGAAGGGCAGGGAGACAGCAGGTTGTGAATGGAGGAATGCATGCGTCACACCCAGGGATAGGGGCATCCTGGGACAGTGGCAACATAAGCATTTCCATTGCAATCCCTGTTTTAAATCTACAGGCCCAATTTATGTATACTCTGCATAGAATCCCCTGCCTTACACCACTCAAGGGCTCAGCTTGCTAATGTCCACCCAATTGCTAGTCACTGGGGCCTAAATTCATTCACAGGTCTGAGCTGGGCTTTATGCCTCCCCTTGGCCTAGGGACAGACATTACA